GCAGAGGATCTTGAGGTGCTTTCTCTTTCTTAAATCATAATTTTGATAAATAGTAACGTCCAAACCTTTTATTGGCTTGTCCTATTTAAATGAGGAAATCTTATTGTAGCATTTTATATTTGTGTATGACTGTATCTTAGTTTACATATAAATAGTGCTGAAAGATTGATTGTCCTTGATTTCTTGATTGAACCTGCAGTTGGATATGAACTTTGTTCAGTGTGACATCAAAAACCTAGTGTGGCGAGGTAATAATTTATCATCATCCCCTTTTTTTCTATATCTTTGTGAGCAGATGGACACATTTGAAGTGAAATCATCATTATGACTGGGCCAGTCCTGAAATTGGGTTTGAGTTAGGTGATTAGCATGGTTGAATTCTTAAAATGATTTGCATGCTTATATCTTTATTCTATTTACATGCACTACACTGTGTTACAGGAAACAGTGAATTTTTATGTCCTGATTTGACCACATGCAACAACAGTATTTCTTACATCTTTAAAGTTCTTGTTATCTTCAAATTTCATGATTTTAAGTAGAACTCAAATTTTAGTATAGGCAGCTTTAAAGTCAGCTTTGTTCTGTGGTAAAAGTTTCAGAGGACTGTCAAGGCACTTATGGAAGAGATTGACATGCTAGAGCACTAGTGTGATTTGGTGGATGTGCATGAATGATTTTTGTGTATTCCATTTATGGAAACAGGGACTACAGAACTGAAACTTTTTATGTCTTTAGTTTTTTTTACTTATGTTAGAGATTTGATTATTGGACAACATACAAAAGATCTAATTTGTTAATTAGCATCTGCTACATTACCTTTATTGAACTAAATGGAGGAAAAAAAATAAAATCCGGAATATGTTTCCACCTACATTGCTATTGTAAAGGTTCTTTACTTGTATCTTCATCTTATGGTCCCAATCTCTTGTCTAGGTCAAACTGTTGATACCATTGTGATGAATCCTCCATTTGGAACCCGAAAAAAGGGTGCTGACATGGATTTCCTCTTTGTAGCCTTGAATGTGAGTGGCGAAACTGAGCCAGGATGTTTCAACTGAATTTATGTCAGCTTAGTAAATCTATTAAGCATATCCTCTATAATCTATATGTTGGTTTTGTGCAGGTTGCTTCTCAGGCAGTATATTCCTTGCATAAGACCTCAACAAGAGAAGTGATTCCCTTTGACTTTACTAGCTTTAAGATTGTTATTACTCTTATAATTGGGACCTAAATGTTAATTTTATCTCATTTGAACATTTTATTTTTCTTCACAGTTGGACTAGAGATAGATTAGTAAATCAACCATTCTAAACAATATTCTTACTCTCTCACCATTTTATAAATTTATTGCATTTAAAGTTTATAAGGGAGCCTTAGAAAGTCGTCTTATCTTTCGCCATATGCTATTTTCAAATAAAAAGTTATATGATATAGTGAATGTTGCTAGAACATTCGATTGTTATCTGTTTCCTGTTTAAGTATTAGGGATGTTGCTTTCTACATCTGGCCTCTTTTTAAAGCAGAACCACTTCAGTTGAGCTCCATGCCCAAGGTTAGGCTCTTGAGTGCATCACTCCTGAAAAATGGTTGTTAGGTTTCTTAGGTTAAAGTGTAGTTGATTTGGGCAAAGCACAACTCTGCATCTCTTAGTCTGCATCAGCCAATAGTTTTGAAATTACTAATTCCCAAATGATTCATGATGTAATGATTTTGGGGTGATGAAGGCTAGCATTGTATCAAATAGTCATTGTTTCTTCTCTACTGGTTTAAACATTTTTGTTGTTAATACAAGGCCACTTTCATCTCTTAACTGCAGCATATTAAAAGGGCAGCCCTGCGTGACTTTAATGCTAGCAGTGCTGAGGTTTTGTGTGAGGTTGGTATGATTGCTTTGCTTGTAAAAAATTTCGTAACCTGTTAATATTTCTTTTCTAACCTCCATAAAATGATGCATCTTATGCATACAGCTTCGGTTTGATGTTCCACAACTATACAAATTTCACAAGAAAAAGGAGGTGGATGTTGCTGTTGACCTCTGGCGCTTTGTGCCTAAAAGGGATGGTGGAAAGGACATCTAACGCCACATCAAGACCATCAGTGCATTTTTCCCTTTCTGGTTCTTTGATGAGAATGGGTGGTTTGTTCCAAGTGTAATCAAATTCTTAATGTCTGGCTGAAGAAAAAAAGGTCCTCTCTCATGATGCTTGATGAGAAAATCGTCGTGCTCTTTTGAGATCCTTTGTAAATTAATGAACATCAATTTGTATTCCCCCGAAAATTGCGAGGACTTGGTAAAGCTTAAGGTTTTGAGTTACATGACAATATTGTAGATGCTTCAATTCGATTCACATGTGATAGTTGATTTGAACCTGCTTTCACTGGTTTTAGGTAAGAGCAAGCAATGTAAGCTTGTATCTTTTGGAGTTTTTCTTTTACACTTTTGTAGTTTCTTCGCAAATGAAGCCTACTTTACGAGGAGAAAAAATTTTATAATTAAGATCAATATTTCCTCGTAGTTCATTTTTGAGTAATGACTTAGGGTTAATCTTTTTAGACAGAAGTTTAGATTTTGGAAAAGTTGGAACTTTGAACCATCAACTTAATCTAAAACTAATATTTTTGAGTTAGCGTGTATCAACACTTTCCTTACATAATTTAGAGACTGCTTTGGGTTTTGTTTAGAAAAACCTTTAGCAATTTTATATTAAAGAAAAAGTGTTTGGTAGGAAGTGATTTTGAAGGACGTATTTAAAAAAAATAATTAATATTTTTAAAAATTAATTTTAAAAATAATTGTTATTTTTTATTTTAATTTGTTTTAAATTAATTTTCAATTTTTTATTTTTCAAGATAAATAAATATTTTTTCCCCCTTTAGCCTTATTATTATTCATTTACTTTTATCATTCAACCATAAAAGATCTCTTTTCATCTTTTACTTCATTTTTAAGAATATTATAGATAAATAAAAATATTATTCTTAAATCTTTAATGTAAAGAAAAATTCAAAAACAACATTTATTTTAGAACAAAGGGAGTAACTGTTAGATAAAAAATTTTAATTTATATAGATCATATGCATCAATTTTTATATTGATCTAATATACCTAACTAATTTATTGATTAAACAAAATTTAATATTGTTAAAAATATTTTAGTAAATAAATTTCTTTGATCAAAATGTTATAAATGTTGGATCAATTTAAAAATTAACATGTATAATCTATAAAAATAAAATATTTAATTTAATGATTGATTTTAAAAAAAATACTAATTAAATTATGAATTTCTAGATAAAAAATTTAAAAAGATTGATATGTATTATAGCAACTAACTTTTATACATATATATATATATGTATAGTATACATTAAGTTTTTTAAAAAAGTCAATATTAGAAGAAGGATATAGAAACTTTTGGTTAGAGTAGAGGCAGCAGATTTAGGGATTTATGATAGATTTTTTTAAAAGAAAATAATTTATTGATAATATTTTTTGAAAATAAAATTTCACAATATAATGTGACCTAATTGTTATTGACTCTTTTAATTTAGTAAGACCCATAGATAGTGTTTGATGTCATATGTACATTATAAAGTTTATTGTAAAAATTTCATTGCAAAAAATCAAAACCACTAGTCTTTTCCATTGAATGAATATTGGTTAACATGGTAAATGGTAATTGTAAATATCCTTGCCAATTAAGCCACAAACCCAAGAGAAATATAGAGTTAAGACAAAAATAAAATATTCTATATTAAACAACAATAACTATTACCTATAGATATATATATTATCAATCTACTATTTGCTACAATTCCAACCTTAATTCAAACACACTTTTAATAAAAAATTGAATAAGAAAGAACTTGAACTATATATTGAGCTCTACTAATGCACTCCCTGTATCCAACAACTTTTATTTTTTTAACTCAATTTTATAGTATATAATGGTAAATGAAAAAAGAAGGTAAAATTATTATTGTTATTATTAATATTTTTTGGTTATAATGAGTAGTGCTTAAACACTATTAATCTAAAGACTCTAAATTTATACACTCATTCCTGAGATGGGCACAAAACTAGATCATGGAATTCCTTAAAGACATGGAGTCCATACTCCATTCTCTAGATGATAGAAATCCGAAGCCATGCAGTCCGCACAATGGTTTGCTATCCGGAAAACATGTTGGACCTCACATCTCCAATCTTGTCGTAAATAATCTTTGCACTTTCTCATTAGGTTAGACACTGCATTACTCACTACTGCAGTCTCACTGAGTTTTTGTTTGGCAAGCAATGAGTCTGTTTCAATGATCACCAGTCCGAATCCTTTTCTCCCATGCTAATTGCAATGCTTTGCCTTAGCCAAAAGCTCTGCTCATATGGCAATGCGGGTGCCTAGTTTGTGAAACCAAACAACCCATTCTCGATAAACACCTCCTGCAGCAGATTTTATTCTCCGGGCGGTCCGCGTGCTGATACATCCACATTTATCTTGACAAAGGGTGTGTTTGAAAATATAGTTTGGAGTTTTTTCTTATAACCATACAATGTTTTTAGATAAATATGTATTTTGTAATTTTTTTTTTCAAACTATTTATTCTAAAAACTGCAAAAATTAAGTAATGATAGATCTATAACAGTTTTATATATAAAATCAGAAATTTCATTTTAAAGTTTTTTATTGTGATTTTTATGAACAATACATAATATTTAATATAATTACAAAATTATTCAATAAAGCCAAATCTCGTTAATTCAATTACATCTTAATTTGTAATATTTTATTTAAACTTAATCTTTTTTTTTATTTAAAGATTTATAAAAAATTAAAAACTTATTTCCTTCTTATAAGTTGCTTTCATACAAAACTAAAAAAACACCCGTTGCAAGAAACTTATAAAATCTATATTATTAAGAAATAATAAATGTTATTTGTTTTAGTAATTATACATCATATAATATTTTTAAAATTTTAATTAATAATTAATAAAATTTAAGATCATGATTGGTGCACACCCGGATCCCACACCCGGATGTGCACCCCTCCACATAAAAAAAAAAAAATTAGACCGGGTGTTGGATTTTTTTTTTTTATGTGGAAGTGTGCACGTTTGAGTGTGGGATCCGGGTATGCACACATCATTTTCCTAAAATTTATTATATTTCATCCACAATACTTTTAAAGAATAAATAACCAAACTTAGCTTTGTTTTCCCCTAATTATATAAACCAACATATCGTTTCAAATGCAGTGTCGTCCCATTGAAAGTCAGGTTCGATTGCTTCTAACATTCTTCCGCGAAAGATTATGATTGATCCATTCAGCACAAATTCATGGTTTCCCATTGATTCCACAAGCCATCTCCAACCCATTTTCTCCGCAACCTTTGAGAGCTTGGGCAATCTCTAAATAGGTGCATAATATCCTCTCTCTCCCAATTAAAAGTAATTTTTTAATTTCCATTCATAGAAATGTTAACGAGGCAAAACTATTAACAAGGACTATATGTTGGAGTTTTTTTTTACAATTTCCATTTATACTAATGTTATATAGAAATAATTTTTTTTTTTGGTTTAGGTGATAAGGGTGTTTTCTTATTAGTTTTTTGCACCAAAATATTAATTTCTCTCTAAATAATCCTAAAATATTCAAGAAAATTAATTTTCTCAATATAAAGTATTATCTAAAGTTATTAATAAAAATAATTTAACTATCAAATATAAAATCTATAAAATTAAACATAAAATCAAAACTAACTGTCGATAAAAAAAAAAAAAGATCATAAAACAAATTCCAAAATTAATCGACATGAAATTTAGACACCAAATAAAATCAAAGCTTGGATTTCAATCTAGACATTTTAATTTTAATGTTAGCTTGGGCATTAAAATTTAATTTTGCAATGTCTTTTCTTAATTTTTTTTTCCTTTTATTAATAAAATTAGTCCACCTAGATTGATACACATATTTCTTATATGAAGAAAGGAATATAGGAAAGAAAGAAGAAGGAAAGAAAGCTAATTAACACAAAGCTGTCCCTATAATCTTTTGTACTAATCTGATGGATCAAAAGCCTTCTTGTTAGGTGGGGAGCATAAAGCACACCAGAACCCAAACCTATATATTTATTATAATTGAAAAAGAATAACGAAAAGGTGAATTGATCATAAGAAAGAGGATGATTTCAGTAGCACATGCAATTAAGCTAGCTGGCTAGGTTTAATTTGTCCCTTAAAAACAAAAGCATAGAGAGCTTTATCAGCCAAAACAAATCCCCTAAATTCATCAACAAAGTATAGATGCCAATCATCAGAATGGGCTCTTCAATAAAATAAATAAATAAATAAATAAAAGTCAGCTTTGAGAGAAATAGTACCAGTATGACCTCACTGCTTGCATAACTCTCTTCAGTTTCTCGATGCTTTTTGAGTTTTTCAATTCCCCTAGCGATTCCATAACCTTAAAATATAAAACCCATCATGTACGAAATTTTTGGAAGTCCTGAACCCCACACGTCTGTATGATGCTATTTATTCCCCCTTATCTTCGCGTTAGATTGGCTTAGTTTTATATCAGCTTGAAAAACAGGGGCTGAGTGAGGAGGAGGCCTCAATTTGGCATGCATGGCTGCATTGAGAATTATTATTTTCTTTAAATTATATAATATTAATTTTGTAGTGTAAAGTTGTAATAGGTTGAATCGTAAACAAGTTTAGTTAGTATTTCAATCACAGAATTGAACTTTATCAAACTTTGAAAAATTGAGACCAAATCTGAACTTAAGTTTAAACTTAAGTTCAGTTATCTCATCTAGAAATGAACTTGAATAGCTCACATGATACTATCGAGCACAGCTATTATAACTTAATATTAATTATATAAATATAAAATAATGTACTTTACATATTTTTTACTAATCAAGCTAGCTAGGAAGAAGGTTTAAAGACAAGCTTGGATCAAGTCAAGATCTGATGAGTTGTTTAATGCATTTACATTATTAATAATAAGTTCAAGTATCCCTTACACGCACACTTAATAAAATATTTTTATTTTGTTGATAAAAGAAATAAAAGGGAAAAAGATTGCTTAGCCCTTTTTTTTTTTTTGAAAAGAAATTATATCTAATTAAATATGTATTGTACAAATATTTTGAAACTATACTAATACTATATGGAGACTTTTAGAAAGAGATGCAGGTGAGGCAATTGATCTAAAGGATGAGGTTTCCTGAGCTACAAATTAAGATAGATCATAATACCATTATTGGATTCTCTATATCTACAACATCATAATTTAAAGAACTACCGTATCCAAAGATAGATCATATGCAAGAGGTAGCACTTGGGGATGTTTGGTTTTGAGAATGGTATAATATTTTCAATGATGCAGGAGAGATACAGACAATGAGGACCAAAATACATTGATAGTGCCACCATTATCCAAGTCATTTGTAGGGTCTCCCTTAAATGTATAATCCACAGAAGCCAAGTGTTGAATTGTGCAGGATCTTAGCATGTGGGTCAGATAGCTTTCTTTGCAGTTCCCAAGGTCCCCAGTCCAGTTGTATATCAACATTGATGAGTTCTTAATTATACAATTCATGGAGACTTCTTGCATAGTTTTAAATTGGAAGAAAATCTTTTATATATCCCAATGGATTCGTGGGGCTTTTGTTTATGCATGTGTCTGAGCCAATTATAGAAAATATAGGTATATGTGAATATATATCCATAAGGCTATATGGCACATAAAAAAAAAAAAAAATAAAAAGGAAAAACTTAATCATGGAGCTTTTCTTTTAATTTTTTTTAAAGTAAGCCCTCATGATCCACCGAACCATCAAGCTGTAAAATGGAATTTAAATTTGTTTTTGTATATCTCCACATGCAAGTTAATGCTGTGATAGGTTAAAGTTTTCTTTGTTACATGAAGAAAATAATTCAGGCTGAATTGTAACTTAAGCCTCAAACTTTTTCAAAAATTGGATTTAAGGTCTTAGACTTTTTCTTTCTATAAAAGAGAGTATGTTACTCATAATAAATGATGTATAAGTCACAACATTGACTCATTATGTCACATGGTACCTCCAAACCTAAAGCAACCATAACGCATTGCCTACTTGTAAATGGCTAACATAAGATCATTTCTTTGTATTGTATAAGAAGCTGACGATAAAAAAAAAGTATTGTATAAGAAGCCATATACACTAACATAAGCTATGGCTAGAGAAATAGTGATGTAATTAAGGATAAGTTACCACCTTTATCTTCCATTATTAGTAAGAGCTACCACTACTCTTTATACACCAAAGGAGTTAAGCATAAAGAAAGCTATCTAGATAAGCCTACACCTCAATAGCTTCACCCACGTGTGCTATTACTAAACTAATAAACCTCAACATTCATCCAACCAATGGCTTGCTCAAACAATGAAGAACTATTGCCTATCAAGAAGAGATCTTACTTCTCTAGTTCTCATCCATTGTCTAATTTTCCTTGTGCTTCTTTCTAATGTCCAAGTTATCTCCAATTGCCCCCAGCTCAACTTCCTAACCTTTACACCACCACATCCACCCCACCCCCTTCCTAGATATATCCCTTTGTCACCTTTAACACCCAACACTAATCAACCACACCACTAGTAGTTGATCCCTCTCATTCCTCCTCCCCTTTCACCTATATAGCATAACAATTTGATATGCCCTAGGTTGAAGCATTTCTCCCCTTAGAAACCAAGTTACACTATCTAATCCTCTATGGAATCCTTTTTATCATCATTGCTCTCTCTTATATCCTTTAATAGCTTGTGTCTCCTTTCCCTATCTCCACCCTTCATAATCAATGAAAAAAACTACAAGAAAGTATCCCTACTAGCTAACCTTCCATCTGCCTTACTTCTGCATACTTTATCCTAACCCACCAATGCAATATTTCTTTTTACCTCACCCTTGTCCCACAAGAATCCCCTCCTCAATATATCTATAGTTTTTATCACTTCTTTTGGAATAAAAAAGTGGTCATTAATTAAGAACATAGGGAGACAGGAATGCCCCAATTTTATAAGAATGATCCTTCCTCCAAGACATAAGTTTCTATTGTTTTAGCTAAAAAGTTTCTTTTCAAATTTTTTAATTAGCTCCTTCTAGACATTCAAACTTTTTGAACACACTCCAATGGGCATTCCCATGTACTGAATTGGTAGTTCCCTTGCTTTTAAATTTAAAAAGCAAGAATTTTACTTCCTTCCTCATCGCTAAGTTTCAACCCCAACAATTGACTTTTATTGTAGCTAATTTTGAATTTGAACACCAGTTTGAAAGCCCTAATTATGTCTTTAGTACCTTTTAATTTCCCTTTGGTGATTCGCTAAACAAGACGGTGTCATCCACAAACTATAGGTGAATGATAGTCAAACTTCCTAAACCTATTGCCACCTCTTTGTAGAAGTTCTTCTCCACAATTGAATTTGTAATTCAATTCAAGCCCTTCACAACAATTACAAATAGAAAAAGGGAAAGCGGATCCCTTTATCTTACGCCTTTACTCACCTTAAACTCTCTAGTTGCATTGCCATTCACTAAAATGGACATTGAACTTGTTGGTAGACATTCCTTAATCTATCGTCTCCAAACAGCCCTAAATCCCATTCTACATAGCATGTAATCCAGAAAATTCTAAGAGACATTATCATAGGCCTTTTTGAAGCTTGCCTTATTAATGAAATATTTTCTTTTCTCCTTCTTTATCTTATCTATTGTCTCATTAGCATAAATTACACTATCCATCAATTACCCTTCCTTTATGCCTTCCCTTTATGAACGTCAATTGGATCTTACTAATGATGCCATCCATCACTTTCTTTAGTCTGTTTGCAAATACTTTTGCAATGATTTTATACATACAACCTTTGGAAGTGATAGGCTATAATCCTCCCCTTCATTGGGTTCTCCTTCTTAGGAATTAGTGCCACAAATGAGGAATTTTACCCTTTTGATAGGCCTTCCATTTTTTTGTAGCTACAAATTTACACATCTCCTCCTTCATAATTACAAATCCTTTCGAAATTCAAAGTTGAAACTTTTCGAGCTAGGTGTTTTAAAGCTATCACACCTCCATATTGTCTATTTTATTTCCTCTTCTATGAGTTGTGCAATTAACATCTCATTCCCCTCCCTTGTGATCTTCTTGGACTTCACCCTTTTCAGCTTTGGTACTTGCCCATTCATCCTCCTCAAAGAGCTTTTCAAAATAATCTACCATTTCGTTCTTTAATTCTTCAACCTCTTGCAATTGTCTACCTTCAACCTTTAGATAATTAGTTTCATTTCAATGCCACTTGCCTTTTACACTTTGATGAAAAAATTGAGTGTTTGAATCTCCCTTTTTGACCCAGGTAATGAGAGGTTTACCCAATTTATCCACACACTCCATTACACTCTTCAATTTTCGTTGTTTTTCGTTGATTACACTTAACTCCGTTACCATCCTCTTCATCCATTATCTTCTTCCTCTTTCTTTCTTTCTTCTTCTTTTTTCTCTCTCTCACTCTCTCTTTCTCTCTCTCTCTCTCTCTCTCTCTCTCTCTCTCTCTCTCTTTCCTCCATCATCCTCCTCCAAGAGAACCCAGGTTTGGGTTCTTTGGATCTGGGTTCTGCAGTAGAACCCAAATGCAAAACCCAATCTGGGTTTTGCTGAATGGCCAAGGTGGCGGAAAAGGAAGGGAAGGACCCACAGCTGCAACGACAAGATCCAAAGCAACTTGCTGTTGGAGCGACAGTGGCTATTGTTGAGGTATTGTTCTGAATAATGAAGATTGTTACTGCTGTTGCGATTGCATTGGTGGCTTCTAGAGTAAGACAAGCAAGAACTCGTCACTGTTGGGTGTCTTCAGAGTTAACGAATTAAATAACGGAGTTAACGGATTAAGTAATAGAGTGAGAATGTGTAACGGAGGGTGAGGAATTGTGATGTGTGCCAATCATCGTCCTTTTGACCTATCGCAAAACCTCTTGTAGAGAATTCATTGTTTGGCGTGTTATCATTGTTTCTGAATAATGAAAAGAGTTGCAAGACAATGTTCTACACCCCGCAAGGTTCATGAGTTAGTAATGACAAACAACCATTATACTCTAATTTCATGTCAAGTGGATACAATTTTGATGATTAGCGAAAAATTATATAAATTAAAAATGCTATTTATGTTCCTCAATCAAAAGAACTCCTAAATTGAGAGACTTTAATTTCACGTCACAAAATCTTAGTCACTACAATTTTAATTGGTATCTTATTTTCTATTATTTGGAAGGACAAATGACTAATGGATGTATAACATAAAAAGCTGAGTGTCAAAATGGTGATTTTGGCAAAACTAGGTGATCATTCATGATATTAACCTTAACAACAATAACAATTATTATTATTATTATTATTATTATTATTATTATTATTATTATTTTATGGCCAACAACAACAATTTAATAAAATAAAGATTAGCTAGATTCATTTTCTTCAAGTGCAAAATAACTTTCTGTGGAAGGATACATGTATTTTTATTTTCTTTTATCCTTTTATGGAATATTTTTTTATTCAAAATCATGTTAATTTGCCGAACACACAACCATATACATTGTACAAGCAATGAGAAAAACAG